TAATATTCTACTTATCCTAGCATCATCAAAATCTAAGTACATTTATTCCTTACATTTTGCTTTGTTGTCTGGCATTTTTGTGTTTCCGAGATTTTGTCCGACTGAGTTTTCTCAAACCGAGGGTTTGGTTCATTCCAATTGTGAACGTGATTGTTCTTTTGTTCGTGAATTTTGTTGCTTCTTCTGTGTCTCGGATCCGGCGTTCATTATGTTGCCATTAAGGGAGAGTTTACATCAGACTTATAAAAGGATGTCAATGGAGGAGGCTGTTGGAGAGCGATAAAAAAAACGGAAAGGCGGCGGCGCTCCCAGAAAAACACCGCCTAAAATACTGACAGGTCCCGTAAACGAGATGATTCCTTTGGAGATGGATTATCAAACCTCTTCTCCCTTTGCGATGGCCGGTAAGATCGAGATGCTTCCTTTGTAGGTGGATGAACAACCCTCTTCTCCCTTCCTGCAGGTGGCTTATAAAACCGAGACGTTTGAGTTATTTTGTTTTTGTTTTTAAAATTCTTATTCAGCTATCTCCCATTTTAGTAGCTAGTGCAGCGCTGCGGTTAGAATTGTCTACCATGATGCGGGGTTAGCGAATTTGAGAGGTCCTAAGAGGCTAGTTAATTCTATGTTTCAACCGAGTGTAGCCTTAAGCTATTGTATTGATTTGTCTCCTGTAACTCTCATTAATAATAGAGATATTTACCTAAATAGGAGTAAATAAATCATCAAATGCTAAAATAGGACTAAACTTTAAAATTTTCCCAAATAGGAGTTATTATTTGGACTTGGATAAAAATACCCCGAAACTTAACAAAACATACTGCCGACACAACGTCGGACTGCCTCTGGTCGCCGGACCGCCTCCGGCCGCCGGCCGCCGCTGACGGCCGCTGCTACAGAATGATCGCCGCTGCATATTTGGCCGCGTCCGCCGCAGATCTGGCCACATCCGCCGTAGATCTGGATGCCGCCACCGTAGATCTAGCCACATATGACCGCCGCTGCCAGCCCTCGGCCGCCCCTACAGATTTTGGCTGCTGCCACTACAATCCTTCCTCCGCCGCTGCACACCCGACCTCCGCCTCTACAGATCCGGCCAACGTCGCCGGTCAGCCAAAATTTTATCAAAATGCCATCATAAATTGAGAATGCCATCTAATTGGCATTTTCAAAGGAAAACATGAAATTTTTGAAGAAAATGAATGCCATTTTTTTGGCATTTTCAGATCAGATTTGGAATTTTTTTTAACAACCAAATATGAAACAGAGCTTTGGTCTTGCGACGAGAAGATGAAGCAAAATAGGGGGACTTACAGATGAAATCGATTTTTCCGATCAGATCGCCACCGGCCTGTTCATCATGTTTCATCGTCTCACTGTCGTCCAGATCTCCAGCAATTTGCCGTTGAAGCTTTTGTGAAACTAAAGATAAAGAGAAGAGACAGTGTTTTGTGGAAGTTGGCTGGAGCGAACAATTCATTAAGGGTAAAATAGGAAGAAAACGGAAATTCAGTCCTATTTAGGTTTAAAACTAAAAGCAGTCCCACGTATGCACTTTCCATCTTCTGTAGTCCCATTTACAACCACTTTCGCTTAATAATAATAAGTAAGTCTTCTCCTTTAAAAAAATATCCTAATAAATTTCCATCTACTTCCCTATGGACTATGGAGGATGGAGAATTTAGAAATTGGAGACAAACTGAAACCAGATTAGGAATAAAAACTATGATTGCACAAGGTCAAAAAAATCGAACTAAGTCCTTCACATAAGTTTAAGGGAACTCCAAATTGCATGACAAGGCCAAAAATATGAAGACATAATCTATATTGGTGAGGGTGCTTACTTCTTGACCTATGTCTATGAGATACTCCCTTCGTTCCTGTTTGAAGTTTCAAATTTCCTTTTTTGGATATCCTTAAAAAAGTTCACTTTACTTATTTGATAAACAAAACAGTGCAAACAATGTTAAAAAGTGTCAAATAGTGTCAAAACAATGTCCACCGAAGTCATTTCTTTAATATGAGTGCAAATCAAAGTGACAACTTTAAATAGGGGCAGAGAAAATATAGGTTCAATTGGGATTTGAAAAGAGAGTGATGTCTCTGTGTGCAATGTATAATTTGAGGATATTGTTTGCCTCTATTCAAAGAGAAACTAAGATACACGCAGAGTTGCGTTGAAGGGTTAAATGCACATATATCATCCATCACTCTCCATTTACGAATGATGAGTTGTACATCATCATGTCTCGAGTTATACTCATCAAGGAGTGAGTCGAAAATTCTTCCAAAAGTTGCGATAATTTTTAGAGAAAATTGGGTGTATATAAATATTTTAATATCTACCTTGAAGTTGATGTTACATATTTAGAAAAAATGATATGCATAACCATTTAGTGCACTTCATCCCAATGTTACGCCACTCATATCAATTTTCATGAGTATCAGTTATTTCTCCATGTGCAAATTCTATAAAATGTGCTATTTGTTTTATACTCCCTCTGTCCCTAAATTTACTTCCATTTCGCTTTTCGAGAGTCAACTTAAATCACTCTTAAACTCTTACTTTTTGTATCAAAACTTTATGAAAATTGATTTTTTTTGTGCAGGCTTTGTAGCGGGTTTAATGTAGTTTCTGAATATGTAAATTTTATTTACTAAAAATAATCCGAGTTTTCACAGGGATCATTTAACTTTATCGTCGGTCAACCTTCGTAATCCGCAATCGGAAGAACATTCAGGGACGGAGGGAGTATTAAATATAAATAGTGACTATTTGCTTAACGGAGCCTATTTTATTTGGTTATGTAGCCGTAATCGTCGTGTTTTATAAAGCACTATGAGGTCTAACAAAAGAAAAACTTTATACTATGGTATTATATTTTTTTCATCTTCACGTAGACTTTATCATTAAACCATATACATACACCAATAGACTACTAACTTCTTTTCTAATTAAAAAATTACCAATTACCTATCATTATAATTTCTAGCAAGTTCTTATTTTACTCTATAGACTTTGTCTAGTGTATATCTATAGTAGGATCTCTTACCCTTGTATACATTTTTTTTAATATTCTTCTAGACTTATTACAATATCTATTTGGCTAAAGGGTCAAATAGGTACATGAACTAACTTAAAGTGTTCAATTAGCCCCTTATATATGAGGTTCTGCCCGGCCGTTGCCAATTGAGGTGGTTCCCGGTGGAATTTTTTGATGAATTTTTTTTAACATCTTCTTCATTAAGTCTAGTTTACCCATACCAAATTTCAGCTAAAAATTCAACCGGGAAGGCAGTCAAATGATTTTTTGAAGATAACTGCGCAGTTAAACAACGCAGTACATTTCGGAAACTCATTTGATTGCCTTCCCGATGTAATTTTTAGCTGAAATTTGATATGGGTAAACTAGACTTAATGAAGAAGATGCTCAAAAAATTTCATCAAAAAATTCAACCGGGAACCACCCCAATTGGCGACGGCCGGGCAGAACCTCCTATATAAGGGGCTAATTGAACACTTTAAGTTAGTTCATGTACCTATTTGACCCTTTAGCCTATCTATTTTTGTTAATGTCAACATTTTCTATTGAGATATAGCTCTAACATGTGACCTCTTCTTTTGGAGATCATCAATAATACCATAAAACCATAGGGAAAAGGTGTAAATAGGCCCATGTACTAATAAAAAAGGTCAAATAAGCCCTTATTTAGAGGCTTTGTCCGGCCATCTCCATTTGGGTTGGTTCCCGGTGAAATTTTTTGATGAAATTTTTTGAGCATCTTATTCATTAAGTCTAGTTTACCTATACTAAATTTCAGCTACAACATCAATCGGGAAGGCATTCAAATGAATTCTTGAAGATAATTGCGCTTTTAACTCCGCAGTTAACTTCAAGAATTCATTTGAATGCCTTCCGGATTAAAGTTTTAGCTAAAATTTGGTATGAGTAAACTAGACTTAATTAATAAGATGTTCAAAATATTTCATCAAAAAATTCCACTGGGAACCACTCCAAATGGCGATAGCCGGACAGAGCCTCCTAAATAAGGACTTATTTGACCTTTTTTTGTTAGTACATGAACTTATTTTCACCTTTTCCCTAAAACCATAAGGTACTCGACATACTCTAATAAGTTTCTGTCTATTTCCCTATGGAGGATTGAGATTTTAGAAATAAAATCATTTGGTTAAAGATATGGAAAGGCTTTCCACAATATACCTCTAATGTAGAGAAATTTGTTGATTTAGTCCCGTAACTTATAGCTATACCCGATATTGGTCCTGTAACTTTATTAACTTGCAGATTACATCCCGTAACTAACAAGTTGGTGCAATTTTGGTCCTTCTCCGCCGGAACTTACAAATTTCGCCGGAAAAGACACATCACCTGTCACATGGTATATTATTTGGAACTCATTTGCTGACTCAATGTTGGCCCTTAGCTAGAGTTAAAAAATTATTTCTTCTTGGTTGCAGCAGGAGCATTTTGAATGAAGTTTAAAGCTTTTTGGATTCATGTTTTAAGAATAAAGCATTTGAAATGTTACATCATCTTCACTTCTCACATCTTTAACATGAGAAAGACCAGGAGCAAAAACACTAACCCCACAACAACTATGAGGAGCCTTTTATTTTTAGCCTTCAACTTTACAACCTCTTTTGAATTGAGTCTTCTAACCAATCCCGGAATTGGGTCTGCCCATTCAAAAAATCTGCAACCTTCTGTCTGTATCAAAACAAGATGAAATTTAACTTACTTTGTACTACGTATATGTTTTCCAAATTCCAACTCATTTCCCCCTCTACAAACACACCGTCAGAAACATGCTCTCGAGTCTCGAAGTTGGATTCAAATCTTTAGCATGAAATTGTTCCCATATTGAATTAAAGTCTGCCGGCTACCATTAATAAGGTGCATATTCTAAGTCAAGATTTCAATGGCAAACATGAGTTGTTTGGTGAAGGAATTAAACAAGACACAGAAGAAACATGTAGATATTCAATGCGTCAAGCATAGTATAAAGCAAGCATTTCTTTATTACACATTTAAAACATCATACGATTCAGTACAACGATGGCTCTGCTTCTCTGCTCCTTGCAGCAGATTACCCAACCACCACAGCCAAAACCATCTTTTACCCTTAGTCATACCACCACATTTAGGCAACTTTATTAAAATTTAATAAAAAAGAAAAGATGAAAAATAAAGAAAATCCCACTTTATTCTACCTTCTAATAAATCCTAACCATCCTTCATTCTGCTGTCCTTTGCCAAGAAATGCATAAACCACCCTCACCCCCACCCCCAAAAATTATTCCATTCTCCTCGAAAGCTTTCACTTTTGCTTCTATTATTTAGTCCTAACCACTGCTACCCTTCTCCTAATCTCCTTTCCTAAGTATGGAAAATAATGCCATTTCTTCGTAAAACTCAGCAATGTCAATAGGTCCATTCCTGGGGAAGCATTACTTCAGGGCTCAAATTTCTCTTGTTTTGCACCAACATTGCTGCATACCTCCTTGCACGCATCACTTCTGTGAATGAATTGACATTACACTGTTAGGTCAGTAAATTTCACATGAAAGTCAAAGACTAAGGGCCCGTTTGGGAGGCTTCATTTACAGCTTATTACTCCATTTAAAGCCAGTTTGCAGAATGCACCCTTATTTGGTTGGTGTAGAAAAAAACAGTATATGCTATTTTTGGGTGAAATTGATTCATTATCTTAAGAAACTATTACCTTTAACTTATTTAAATACTCCGTATATGTTTACAATATATACATACATTTCTTTATTTAGAAATGAGCCATTAATCATTTCTTTGATGATAAAAGAAACACAGCATGTTCCTACTTTTTTGCTAAACAGATGAAATTAATACTCAGTCTATTTTTTCAGTTTAAATATATACTTCCTTCATCCCAAGAAGATTTGAGTTAGCAAGAAAAGCCTTTTGAAAATCATTTTAGGACCGATGAAGTATATTCTATATTATTTAGACAATTCTGCAAAATCAGCAGAATTGAAACATTTTATTCACAAGTTATGCAACAACCCAAGAATTAGCAACTTCAGCAAACAGATAGTAAAAGAAAACATACCATAATCTGAAACAAAGTCAGCACCCGACTGGGGTTGAACAGGGCCATTGAAGTCCTGGATGTTGTTATGTTGACCATGAACGGCCCTAGCAGTGGTGCAATATCCTACAAGAATCATAACAAAAGAACTCCAATTATATTAATGCCATATAATAAGCAATACTTTGAGCAAAAAAGTCATATTAGAAGCTGAGAGCAAGTGGGGGAAAAGAAAGGGAATACAACAAGCACAGTCTACCCCAAATTTGAGGAAAACTGGCTGAAAGTGCAAACATTTTTACTTAAGTTGCAGGCTGGTAGCTGCCAAGGCTAAAACAACAAATTCAGTTTAATAATATATAGGGTACAGTTCTTCAAAAAAAAAATATATATATAGGGTACAGTAGTGAATTGTAATTTGCTATATCAACTAATTTATGCCCTCTATTTTCTTCAACTCATTTTAGGTGTTTAAGTCTGGGGGCCCATGTGAGTATGGGGCCTGGGGGCAATCTGGGCCCACCTGAACATCAGTAAAATCTTTTATGTCAAACAATTTGTATGACAGTATGAGTGACTTTTTTCAAACAGGCCTCCCCAAATTGAAAACCTTTGGCATACTGGCTACAGCACACATGTAGGGTTAGGAGCTAGGGTTTTCCATTGCAAATGAGAATTACATATTTCCAATTTTTAGTTTTTTATTACTAATTTGCATACAAATGGGGTAGGGGGACCACCACCAGCCCACTCGTTGACTCCTCACTCTCACACACACTGACACACATCATAATTTTTATTGGAAAAAATTTATTTTTTTTGTGCAAAACTATATTTTTTACACTTCTTGACCTCTCAGGCAATTAAACCCGCAAAAAATCAACTGCAAATTTTCCCGAAATTGAATGGATTACTGGTTGTATGCTTGTATTATACAAGTATAGCATAGCACATAATTTCAAAAAACTGTTATACGTATGCACCAAAAATGGAAATAATTAAAATCAGGGACTTGTGTAGAGCAAATATTTAAAAATTTACTTAAGCACCAAAAATAGGAAATAATAAAGCAGGGACAAAAGCTGGGACAAAAGTGGAATTTTTCTCCTTTTTAGGTACAACTAAATTATGCCGTTGGTTGTTTTATACGGAGTAGAACTAATTTTAGTTGGAGCACATGGTAATAAAACAATAGCTTTTTCTAATCTGAGGTTGATATCCACAGTATAATATGATTAGATACCGACAATTATGCTATAAAATATTACTCCGTATAATACTACGTAGATGAGAAAACTGTAATGGCATATAACAAACAGCTAATGGTTTTATAAAGTCACAATCATTTAAGAGGGGAACTTTTTTCCTGTAAAACAAGAGTAAAAACTCATACGGGGACCAGAGTAGTGTTTCTTAAGGTACTCTCCTATTAAAGCCAGTAGACCAAATGAATAACCTTTTTTGCACCTATTTTGCTAGGTATTAATGTTGTACTATCTATTAATAATAACACCCTGGTTTGAAATTTTCCTTCTCTGTCCAGTCACACATTAAGATATCTATTTGGCAATCTCAAACTAAGATTAAGGTTTTTACTGTGTCATCTTATTATTCAAATGGTCCATACCACTCAGTGTAATTTCAAAATCCAAAAAGTGTAATTTTGATATTAATTTAAATTTAATATTAAGGATGTTTTCTTGTTTTCAGTCTCAAACCAGACCATACTTAAATAGACCGAACCAGACTTAAACAGACCAGAGCAAACTTAAACAGACCAAACCAGTCCCATATATAGTCTTGGACAGTTATAAAATACATAGAGATCAGACATTTACCAGAGCAAACCAATTCACACCAGACTAGACTAGCTAATTGGTGTGAAATGAGAGTGTTATTTCAGAGAAAAAGTGTTGTTAATTTTTGTTTCTTTTATCAGCATTCATTTTGGGCAAATTGAAGGCAAAGAATGCGCCTTTTTCACTTTCCAGGTATGGAGAGAGCAATAAAGAAAAAGAAAACAGAGTCAAAAAGGAAGTTCTCGTACTTTATCCAGACAAGCTTTATGAAGACTACCGAGTCAAGGAAATGCAGACTCGGACAAACCGAGTTAGTCGCACATGACTAGGAGTCTAGGACAATCTCAACTAAATCGTACGGACTCAGAGAAATGGTATACCTGCTTTGCTCCTAGAATCTTTAGGACAGTGATGGGCATTATTGGCATTTCCGTATCTCCTCGGCAGAAACACGCCGGTCCCAGCCCGCTCCCTCTTCACTCCGCCGCCGGGGAGAGGAATTACAGGCCGACCGCGCATGGTGGCGCCGTTGCAGGAGACACCACCCATCACCGGCGCGCCGTACATTCCGGATTCTGGAAACGGCCCAACACCGCCAAACGCGGCTTTAGATGGAGGTCGAGCCTGGGGGAGATGCGGTTCAATGTACTCCCTCGTTCTGGGAACCTGCATAAATTAGATTTTAAAATCTGGGTCGGATTGTCGGAAAATGAAAACGATCCAAATGGAGATTAAAATATGGGTTACCGGTGGAAACGGGGGGAAGCTCGGAGGACCCGGGCGGCGGTGACCCATCAGTGATTCCTCGCCGGCGTTCATCTTCAGCCTCGCAACTTCCGCGGCGGCCTGGAGTATCAGATCCCACGAATCGTTCCTGAAGCCCAGCGGGGTTGTCGGAGAGGATATCTGGGAAGGCCCGTTTGGGGTAACATTGCTCGACCCGGTGCTCAGACCCGACCAGTTTCCTTCACGGGGCAAATTCTGCTGGCGCGACCCGGAAAGCAGCCATGAATCCCATGACTGTAAACAACATTTTTACAGACACCCATTAAATTAAACGCACAGAAATCGAGAAACCAGTCTCTTAAACGCAATGCAGAACCAGAAACCGACTAGAATGCTAGACAAAGACTGAAACAGTACCTCAAACTGATTTTGCCCGGAGGAGATTGACTTCGGAGTGTCTCCAGCGGCCGAGAGAGTCAACCGGCGGGTCAACGAAGCGAGATACTCCTCCTCATCACTCTCGGCAGAGCCAGCCGGAGAAGAACAGAGGTCGTACGGGAACTCAGCGGGGAAACAGATGTCAGTGTCAGACTGCATGGTGCCGGACTTCCCAAAGGATTTGGGAAAATCCAGCAAAAGGTCCTCGTCGGAGAAAAAATCCGGCAGCAGCGCGAAATCCGGCTGGGGTTCCTGAACATCCATATCTATCTATCTTCAGTGAAAAGAAAGAGGATTTGAAAGCTGTGGTGAGGGTGAAGAAGATACGGGTGGGGGCTAATAAAGGGGGAGCGAGTATTTGTGCAGAGGCGTGGGGCCCAGTGTGGGGCTGGAAAAGCGGTGTGGTGGGGACAGCGGGGGTTTGACGAAGTGGCGTAGTGGGAGGAGGGATGACTGGATGTTCTTTTGAGGCGGGACAGCGTCCCTTTTTTTAAGGATAATGATTTTTTTTTCTTTTGAAAAATTTGGCGCAATAATAATTTCAATTCTTCCTTTTTTTTCTCACTTACTTCACTAGTACTTTTTTCAATGATAATATAAAATTTTAGTCACCAATAACCGAAAGAGATAAAGAAAAATCGGCGGGGTGGTGTTCGAAACGAGGGAAAAAGTAAGAAAAGCAATATGAAAATAAATTAATAAAGTAATTTGTGTCTCATTCTATTTGTAATTGCTAAAACACAAAAGTACATTGTGTGGAATTTTACGGAAAAATATTACGTGTTGAGTGGAACATGTTTTTAATACGTGTACGAACAAATGAAATAAAATAAACTTGAAACTTTTTAGGTTCACATAAATCCATCAAATTAGAGTTAGATTAGATCTAGTAAAATAAAAACTAGATAAATCAAGTGCATATGCTTCCATTGTTCTCTTTTGTTCGCAGGGGCGGATCTACTCACATATGAGTGGGGTAGCTGCCCCCAATAAGATCCCACTAACCCTTTGTAAATTTTTAATTAAAATTAAAGGCCCAAGTAATTGCCCCCAATAAAAAAAAAAAATAGTTGCCCCCAATAAACAAAATGAATTGCCCCCAATAAACAAGATCATGCAAAGCCCTAAACGGCCTAAGAGCCAAGCCCTTCGCAAATTGTGGAACTGGGGACAACGTAAGAGGAGAAGAGGCGGCTAAACCCTGTGAGTGCAGAAGGCTAGACTCAAAGAGGGCAAATCAGAGAGCGGTGAACACAGCAGCAACACGGGAACACAGAAGGCTAGCCTTATCAGCTTTCACTTTATTATTGACTTTAATTAATAGCTTTAAACCTTCTCACTTTATTTTTTCATTTTTAATCAATTAATCAATAAATCGATGTTAAATTCGGAGCTAGGAAGCACGGAAACTCTCCATGGCTCACGTTTCCACGTTTCGGAAACTCGGAAGCGTTTCGGAAACTCGGAAACTTCAAATTCCCGTTTCGGGGCCGTTTCCGTAATTAAGAAAAATTTGGAAACCCGTTTCACTACGTTTCGGAAACCTCGGATTCCAATTTTTTTTCAAAAGATTTTGTGGCGGAAAATAAATTTTTATAGTGAATTTTTGTAGTATTTCTCAGCGACAACACTTGTTACATTTCGTAACGCAATGTATTGCTAGACATGTATTACTCCGTACATTTTATGTTTAATTATGTACTAATATGAAATAATATCTAAATTCGAACATGTAGAGTGATTTTATTATTTGGTTACTTAACAAATTATATTAAAAAACATGTGCATATGGAAAACTTGTGTACATATATTAAAAAGTATTTATAAATATATCCCTATATTTTATAATATTTACGCTTTTCCCCCACGTTTCGTGTCCTATATTTTTTAGAAATTACGTTTCTCGCGTTTCTCGTTTCGCTTTTCACGTTTCCCGTTTCCCGTTTCCGTGCTACTTAGATTCGGAGTGTTGCCGAATTTATTGGTTTGTTGGCGTGTTGCCTTTGCTAGTTTAGTACTCCGTATAGTTGTTTTATGACTTTATCCTCAGTATATATCATGGTTCTAAAAATCGCTCTAGGCGCCCGACTAGTCCCCGCCTAGGCGCTAGGCGGTAGTCGGGCGCCCCGATTTTAGTCTAAGCGCTCCGACTAATTGATTTGGCGCCTAGGTGAATTAGTCGGCCGCCTAAGGCGCCTAACCACACGCCTAGGGTGCTTAATCGGCCGCCTAGGCATCCAGATTCATCAAACATTTTATTTTGCCTTTTCTTTTAGTATTCTAAGAGATATTTGTATCTTTAACTCTAACAACGCATATGAACAAAGCTACTAGTTGTAGATTAAAGGAAAAATTCACACCATTAATCTAACCTATTGGGATTCTTCTAATATTAATCCCACATATGAGTAATTCCAATTTAATCCAATCTATATAGGGTATCTTCTCAAAATAAACCCCAACCTGAATGAATCAGGTTATCCGGTCACCTATCACACATGTCTTATTCTTATTGGCTTTCTACATTTTAATCTTTTTGTTTTAGTTTTTTCTTTTTATTTCTTTACTCTGACCGCAGCCCCTTCCTTCGACAATCAGATCAGCACGTCTTACGAGGCCACGGTGGTGGAGGAGCTGCCCGGCGGCAAGGGCTACATAGTCCAGTACAACACTCTCATCAAGGACGACCTTTCCGGGCCGCTGCGGGAGGCGGTGAGTGCCGCGGAGGTCAGGCCGCATCCGCCGGAGATCAAGGCGGCGGAATTCCACATGGACGAGGCGGTCGACGTTTTTGACAACGACGGGTGTTGGGTGGGGCGGATCAGCGGGAATCTCGGCAGCCGGCGTTATTACGTGTCCTTCCATTCCCGATCCCACCCAGGAAATATCCAAACTCTAATTTACCCCAAACACAGAATCAGGGTTCATCTCCATTGCTAGAGTAAACTTGGATATGGAAACCCATGGTTACAGCTCAAACCATTCTAACATCTCTTCTTCCTCATTAGTGTACTGCCCGATCAATTCCATCAGAGTGGAATAAACTCAAACAGAAGAGAAAACAAATGGGGAAGGTGTCGGCAAAGCCTTCTTGTGTTTACTTTCCTTTCTTTTTCTTTTATTTTTTAATTTATTTACCTGTTTAGTATGTAGTAGGTTATGCCGGATCAATATGAGAAGATTACATATGAATTTCGGATTATTTTAGAATTACACATACTTGGGATTAATATTGGAAGACTGTTAATAGTTGAGATTATTTATGTGAATTTTTCCTAGATTAAAATAAATACTATACATGTTTATGTGTGTGTGTGTGTGTATTCTTAAGTGTTATTATTATTTATTACTAATTATTACGCAGTATTACTTGAAGTTAAGAAGAATGTATAATATATTATTAAATGTGAAAACTCTTATCATTCATGCATGTTAGTGTGTGTATGTGTGTGTTTATATTTTATATAAACATAAACACAACATTATTAATCATATTTATGCAAAAATATTAATAAAACTATAATTTCTATGTCTCCGATTAATCCCCGCCTAGGCGCTAGGCGCTGTTCTGGCGCCCGACTAGCGCCTAACGCCTTTTAGAACATTGGTATATATTCATTGTATTGTTTACTTTCCGTATTTAATATAAATATTAAGGATGTTTTTACTTGGACTGCAATTTGCTGGTCTGGTCTATTTAAGTATGATCTGGTCTGTTTAAGTCTGGTTTGGTCTGATATGGTCTGTTAATTTTCTGGTCTTTGTATATTTTATAACTACAGAAGTCAAGTCTGGTCTGATATATTTAAGTCTGGTATGGTCTGTTTAAGTTTGGTTTGGTCTATTTAAGTCTGGTCTGGGATTGAATACAGTCCAAGTAAAAACTTCCTAAATAGTATTACTAAACTGATAATAATGTTAAAAATTTATTATAGGGTTACTTATTTAAATGAATCAGATTTGATATTTTAGAAAGATCAATTAGATTAAATTCAATTGATGTGTTTCCGAAATAGTTACCCATTTATTAATGTAATGTTTTACACTATTAGAAATTATAAATTACAAAATGGCAATTAATATGTTAGAAACACTAAATATAAATAATATGTTACTTTAGGTAGTTAAATAAAATGTATTAATGTATTACAAAAGTTAATTGTGATGTATTTTGTTAAAACTTTTATTGAAATTTGAAACTGTTCCAAATGAAATTGTAATGGATCTTTTCCAAAAGATTAAAAATGGGCGCGAACAAGTGTGATGTATTTTGTTAAAATTATTGTACTATTACATTAATACTTTATTAATTTTTTTTGATGCATTTTATGTTTACCCCGCCCCCAATAACTTTGTATCCTGGATCCGCCACTGTTTGTTCGTATGAAGTTGCCATTTGAAAATTTATTAAACCTTTAATTTTATACTCTTATAATCTTAAAACTTACTCCCTCCGTCCCGAAATTAATTTCTCACATAGTTTTCAAACATATTAAGGAAGTAATTTACTAGGAGGAAAATTTTATTGTTTTGACATTGCTTCGACATTGTTTGATACCATTTTGCACTGTTTTGCATTGTTTTGATGTATATAATTTGTCAAATAAGGATGTGAGAAGTTAATTTTAGAATTGTCCGAAAAGAAAAAGTGGAAGTTGTTTCTGGGATCAACCCCTAGCATAAATTATACGTTCATGTAAAGAACCTAGCATGCGTAGTTATTCATGTTGGTTGTAGTTCTAATCATACGAATTAGCTTGTATCACTCATATTGGTCAAATTACAACAGCAAAGGAGATTACTTAAATAATTATTTGACCATAAGATAACATATACTCGTAAAGGACACTACTCAAGTAATTATCGGACCCTAAGATAACATTTAAAGGCGATTACTCAAATAATTACCTGGCGTCAAGAAATCTTTAATTAAATTGATGAAATTACGAAGGATTAAGCATAATTCTTATGTGACTGCATATTGTTTGAGAGTGGATGTTAATGTTTGACGATTACAGTAATTTACATTAATTGTACGACCAGATGAACACGCGGACAAGGTCCACCTTATCGGACTCTATCAGTGAGACAATTAAGGTGAAGTTTATCGTGAATGGTTCAGTTTGTTCAGCCATTTCATACTTGCCACATATAAATATACAAATCAACATATGCAATCTTGAACTACTTCACCCGTAAGGTTGAAATTTTAGAACGAAACTCTAACTTTTAATATGATGTCGAATTATTAAATGTTAGAATGTGACATATGTATGAAACAAGATCCTGTATATTTCTATCATATTTACTTGTGTATTTATCC